ACTTGAGGTTTAGATGTGTCGCCCCCCTCGGCAAAATGCTCACTACAAAAGCGTTAAAAAGCTAGAAAAAGGGAATCGAACTCAATTTAGACCGTGTACCAAAAAAATTTGCCAATTTCTTTGTTAACCCATCATTTAAAATATCTGGATCGTTTTATTTACGAAATATGTACATTTGTTGAAAAACACAATGAGCCAATCGAATTGCGTTTCGGGATGTTCCAGCTCAAAAGAAGGCTCTTCCAGTATTCTTTCTTTCTGATTAACGCTACAAACAGGTCAACAAGTTTCAAATATTGTAAATTTCAGGCAAGCTATGTTTCGTTTTACGAAATTTTATGGACAAAATTCGGCCGCAACCCGTCACTCAACAAAATTAGTCTCATTTGTTCTGTGTACTCAACTTTATCGTTTTTGTTTTGACGTATGATGGAGGAAGCTCTTAGCTAGAGCAACATGTGAAAAGGATCTACACACTTGGATTTTTTTTGCAAGTAGCGGCAAATTTTACACTGAAATCGAGCAAAATAAAATGCCGAACTGCTCGGTGGTGCCCATCTTGGCAACAAATCTCAGTTTGTAGGGGAAATGGCTCTAATGTTGGCCTATAGATCTAAGATTCATAGCTAAAAATCTGCTATTTATCAATTTTATCTAGATGAACGCGAGACGGTACTGATAGATATTTTTGGTCGCTATTGAAAATTTAGTCGATTGTTGAATTTATGTATGGGTCCAAATTAGGGGCATTTAGGCCGCTATGTGCCAAATGTAAACAATGACTTTAAACATCAATTTCTCGTGAATATAGATTCATTCTGGAAAACCAACACCAGCATCTGAGAGAAAGTTTGCTCTATCAGATAATATATGCAGTTAGTTTGAGTAGGCGTGCTGTAATTCGTGAACAATCGACGATTAAACATAGAGAGAAGGTGCGCGAAAGAGCGCGGCACGGTTGGTGTTGATGTTGGTTCGCTCGCAACTATTTTTGCAAAAAAAAATTAAGTGTTTTCGACCGCAATTGATACCGAAAGTGAATCAAAAGTGCTTCTGAACGTGTTTCGCAGTTGGGTGTGGTGAAATTCGTGCACACCAAAATCACAAAATTGCTCACCGAGTTTCTTTTTTTTTACCGCTCGAAGACGGCGGGTTTGCATTCGCGAGAGTGATGTTTATTGGATCTGTTTCTTTGCACGGGTGTGTTTTTTTGTAACCAGCGGTGTGTAAGTGTGCTTGTGATTTTCATTCCCTACCGGGAGGCCGGTTCACCGTGTTCGGATGTTACACTTTCGGCGTGTAGTTCTGTCGAGAGTCGAGTCACCGTGTGCGAGTTTGAACCAATCCTCTGCCAAGAAGAACGGTTGCTGAAGCACTGGTGTCAGCACTGTAGCCTACAGTGTTTATGCTATGTTTATATGTGCATTGACGACACGTATGCGTTAAAAATCTTATGTAAATAATCATTAATGAAACTTGAATTTTTCGTGATTAGCTTGCCTAATTTATAAATTAATATAATTAATGCTCAATTCTTACATGAACGCGCTTGTTGAACATTTATCACGATTATTTTGCCGCGCAACAAATCAAACATCTATGTGGACGGAGCATAATTTCTCAATGTTTGCATCGGCTGTCTTAGATTGGCAGATAATCGAGCCAAAAAACCAATAACTTTGGCTTCAAGCAAAATGTTCGTGGATGACGTTTCTGCCACCGGAGTGGTTTGAACACGATCCGGTTGGTCAATTAGCTGGGGAAAGTGCTGATAATAAAACGGCGCCGGTGTTGTAGTGGTAAGCGTGATTACCTCTCACCCCAGCAGGCCTGGGTTCAATCCCAGTCGGCGCCGTCGGGATGTTCTGAGGCATAACATCTCTGATTGAGCCTTCCTTCGGATGGGAAGTAAAGCCGTTGGTCCCCGGTTCATGAGTTGATGGGTCGATAGGTAGGGTCCAGGTGTGGGAGAGCTGCCTTCCTGGTATGTCGGTAGCATTGGTGCTCAGCACGGAAAACAAGATCGATGGAAAAAAACAAATCGAAGGAAAATAAAAAAAAAACAAAAGTGCTGATAATGAGTCCGCCGCGAGTTTTGGTGGTGATTCGGTGGCCGACGTTGCCGTGAATCAGCGAGTTTACGGCTTGCAAAAGTGCTAGTCTGTTGATCTCTCGCCAGTGTCGGTGATTGAGAGCAAGCTGAAGGATGCCTCGCTGGATACGCTCAACGGGCAGTAGTGGGTGGCCGCGGGGAAAGCACTATATGCGAACCTCCTCCCAAATGACCATGGCAATGCGGGAAGTATCACAACAAATGTAATTGCTAGAAGATATTTTTGCAAACAGTGGCAGATAGCAGACATGAAGCTCAAGTAGAGGTGCCGGGCAAAGGTGTTATATCCTAGACAAATGATAAGTTATAAATTCGCTGTTGTCGCTGTCGTAGTCGCTGTCGTAATCTCCGTCATAGTTTCCGTAGGCAGTACCGTTAGTATATTTAAAATTTACCATCAACCGCTGAAACTATATGAATCATCGCGTATTTCTGTTGTTCATTACATATCAAGTGCAATTTGAGTACGTAATTTTCATAGCATAGCTTGTTATTATTGCCTGAACCATGCGTAAAAAGCAAATCGAAACATTGAACATCGCGTGAAAGTGAAACTTAATGAAAGCCTAAGTACTCTTTCGTAGTTTTTAGTTTTATGATTTGAAAGATCGTCGGTTGCAGTGGCTTGCAAAAAACGCGGTCCCAGGTCCTTTCATATTAAAAATGTATGGTTAGATCGCTTGTTTATCGTGTATTTTGTTAAACTTTTCGCTGTCGTCGGTGCCGGGTTTGAATATTTATAACAACTTAAGTAACGATATAATGTGATATGAGGGGCTCGGTGGCCTTAGAGCAACCGCTTTTGCTTACTGAGCAGAACATCGTGAGTCTAATCTCAAGCCCACCCACATTCAAGATTCGTCAATCGTATTATTTGTTAACATAACTACATGGTAATAACAGCAACTCGATGACTAAAAAGGAGCACGTTTGCCTAATGGCAAACGTTTTTGCTTACTGAGCAGAAGAGTGAGTTCAATCCCAAGCTCCTTTGCGTTATATGATCGTTAGGACATCAATTCAGCTTATCGTTTACCAAAACGAACCCTGCTGCAAACCCAACCCTATTACTCAATATTCCAGTGATTCCTCGTGGAAGTGCAGAGGTGTTCTCGGCTTCCACAACACAGGTTCAGCCCAACAACACGAAATCAGTAGACTAGTGGCTAGCGTTTTCGCTTTCCAAGTAGAAGGTCGCGAGTTCAATTCAAAGCTAAACCTTTTTTTTTTTATTTGTGTTCTTCGTCTAATTATTTTAAATCGTAATAATCGATCATGAATGTATGTAATGAACTTTCAAATATCTATGTGGTGCGTGCCTCGTAAGAAACATGAAATGAATCACTGAAGAAACTACCAACCCTGTTTCCCGTTATTATTTTCGGATAAATTTTGCACCAGTTGAATAATCGTTTCATAAATGTTTATTAGTGTGTAATTAAACATTACATTGCCTGATGAAAATCCAAGCGTATCGCTGTTTAACGAAGCAATGATTTCGAATAAACGCTGAATAATCGAAAATTTGAAAGCTACAATTAAATAAAAATGATTTACCTGTTTTACTGCCAGAGAGCTAAAAAATTCAAATTTGAGAGAGAAAATTTGCTGTCACTAGTTTAATTTTGCAACATGCCATGTGTTTTGATGACACTCTATTTGTGATTTCCCTCTCACAAAATACAAAATAGAGTACTTGACACTGCAAAACAAGTCTGGTACCTCTATATACAGCCATTCCATAGCGAAACGATATAGATTCTCAGAATGTCGTAACAATTGGCAGTTTTGTTCCTTATCGAAAAGTATTAGACCCGTATTTTTTTTTATTTTCTCATTAGGGTGACCATTTTCCTGTTAGGGTGGTCTAAAAATCGATTTTTTTTCTATTTTTTCCAAAAATGGCATTTTTTTAAACATCATAACTTTTGAACCATTGAACCGATTGAAATGATCAAAATATTAAATGAAAGTTTATTAAAATTACTTTTCAGACAAAATATTTTTTTTGAAGTTTTGTATAGAAGAACTTTGATTGTATTTGTTTTTTAATGGTTTTCATGGTTTGTAGACAATGGGCGTAACACGTTTTATATATTTTTTTTTTAATTTTGGCTTTTCTACACAACATATAAAAAATCAGCGATGTATTTGTCTTCGTTTTTGAGTTACGATTGTTTGAAATTATCATGTTTAGAAATTTCGCTCATTACTCCAATACGAGTAGATTACCCTGCGTCTCCATTGGTACATAGCTCTCTGACATTGTCACATAATCCATATCAATTTTCAGCTTTAGCTTTTATAGGCTTGTTTATTCAAAGTGAATACTTCAACAAGTAAATAGCTACCTAGACAGAGCACATGCTAAAATCATACAGAAAACTTGGTAGGTAATGTGTCTACGAACGAACAATGCATGGTGGTATATTTAAGGATGAACTTTGAAGTGAAATAATAGTAAGGAAACAAAAGCTCTGTTAATCCAAAGATATTCTGTACAGCCAGTGTTTTATAAACGATGCATTTTAAGTGTTCTTGTTGTTGCTTGTGGGTTTTAAATGCTTTAAAGAGGAATCTTACCCAAGCTCTTCAAGTTCATGCGATGAAGATAAAAGTTAAATTAGATGGCAGTTCCTTCATATGCAGAAATTGCTACCTCAAACTGTATAAACCCGCACCCGAAGAGCCCACCGCTGGACCATCTGGAGTTCCTGCTGTGTACATTGGTAGCCATGAGTCAAACGAGCATGACGTAACATTATAGCATTCTGAAAACTTTGTAACAACAGGCTCGAATGTAGTGTAGTGTTTACAGTAATGTCAAATATGTTTTTTTAACTTCATTTTCAGAGTCACTAGAAGCACCCAGTTGACAATCGATCAGAAGTACTGACAGTGTGCCTACTACAAACGATGATGAAATCATTCAGCAACTCAAGGAAAAGTTTCTAGAAACTCATGATAATAATGAGAAGTATCGCATTCTCACGACTTTACCTAGAAGCTGGTCAGCATATAAAATAACGAAGGAATTCGGTGTTTCTCAATATATGGTGGATCGGACCAAAACACTACAGGAAAACAAGGAGATAATGACGACACCAGGAAGAAAGCTGAGCAGGGCGTCTTTAGCAGAAGAAACTTTATCACTCGTGCGTGAATTCTATATCAGTGACGAAATAAGCCGAGCTTGTCCAGGAAAACGCGACTATGTTATTACAAAAAGTGTCGATGGTAAGGTTTATATACAACGAAGATTAGTATTGTGTAATTTACAAGAAGTTTATGCCATTTTCAAGGATAAATATCCCGCAACTAAAATAGGGTTTTCAATGTTTGCAAGTAAACGCCCTAAGCATTGCATTCTGGCAGGAACGAGTAGCACACATACTGTTTGTATGTGTGTTTACCACCAAAATGTTAAATTAATTTTTAAAACTCTTCAAGATAGAAAGTCACTTCCAGTTGATGTGAAATCATACCATGACTTGTTTTTTAAAATTCTTTGCACCAACCCCACAGAACAGTGTTGGTTAAAAATGTGTGAAAATTGCCCAGGTATACAAAATTTGGCTTCAGAAATGGTTACCATCCTGACCGATGGAAATGTGGAATCCTTAAAATTTAAACAATGGCGTCAAACTGACCGTTGTATCATGGATTTAGTGGAGTTGGAAACTCAAGAGTTTATAGACATGTTTTTGGAAAAGTTATCCGATTTATCACCACATGATTTCATAGCTGAACAACAAGGTAAATACTTGAAATATGTCAAAAGTAACTTAAAAGTAACGGAATGTAATAATATGTTATTTTTCTGAAAAATTTTCATTTGTTGTACAAGACGCTGTACAAGCATTTCATTGGGCAAACGCACAGTGCACTATACATCCATTTGCTATTTATTATAGAGATGATCATACCAAAGATTTAATGTTTACTAGTTTCACTGCAATCGCGGAGTTTACCAAGCACAACCATGTTTCATTTCGATTATTCGTAGTTAATTGCATAAATTTCTTCAAGAGTAAGATACCCAGCCTTAAGAAAATTCACTTTTGCTCAGATAGATCAGGCAGTCAGTACAAAATAAGATGACAGCTTTTAATTTGTTTAATTTGAAAAAGGATTTTGGTATAGATGCGGAGTGGAACTTTTTCGTCACATGCCACGGTAAAGGTCCATGCGATGCTTTGGGAGGAGACTTGAAACGAAATGCTGCTAAAGCAAGTTTGCAACTGCTAAAGAGCTTTATACATGGGCAATTTCTAAAATCGATTCACTATGGGTTTTTTTTCAGACGCAGATCATAAAGCGATGGAAAGAAAACTTAAAACTCGTTATAATCGTGTCAAACAAATTTCCGAAACACAGTCATATCATAGTTTTAGGCTAGCAAATGAAAATTATATTATTGTGAAACGATTCTCGTTCTAAGAAGAACATTCTGTGAAACTTTGAAAGTATCTTTAAGCATGTTTTATGTCCACTAAAAAAAAAATGAATTTTATTTCAAACCAGCCATGTGCATAGTTGGAAACCATAAGATTGTCTTATCAAAGCATTGATTCTAGTCCAAATATGGACTAGATATGGAGTTCCAAACAGTCCTTGAAAGATGTACTACCCAAATTTAATATAAATATATTCTATTTGAATTCCTATGCTATGAATCACTGTAGTAATTATTATTTACACATAACGCAAAAGCAATCAATAAATTTGATTCAAGTTTCTATGAATGTCATGGTAGTCTAGGATCAGAAATTGAAATCAGTAAGTAATGTAACCATGTTACATTCGATATGTATCAATGGAGACGCAGGGTAATCTAGTCGTATTGGAGTAATGAGCGAAATTTCTAAACATGATAATTTAAAAAAATCGTAACTCAAAAACGAAGACAAATACATCGCTGATTTTTTGATATGATGTGTAGAAAAGCTTAAATTAAAAAAAAAAAACATATATAAAAACGTGTTACGCCCATTGTCTACAAACCATGAAAACCATAAAAAACAAATACAATCAAAGTTCTTCTTTGTATAGACTCCAATTTTCAAAAAAAAATATATATATATATTTTTTTTCTGAAAAGTATTTTTAATAACCTTTTATTTGATATTTTGAACATTCAAATCAGTTCAATTGTTCAAAAGTTATGATTTTTTAAAAAATGCCATTATTAGGAAAAAATAGAAAAAAATCGATTTTTTTGGACCACCATAATGACAAAATAAAAAATACAGATCTAATTTTTTTTCGATAAGGAACAAAACTGCCAATTGTTACGAAATTCTGAGAACCACTATATCGTTTTGCTATAGAATGGCTGTATATGCATTTTGATTAACATCCGAAGTTCCTCCTTTTTTCCATATTCTGATGACGAAATGATGCATTGCTTATCTTTTGACAGATACGCGTATTTCGTCTACTTCTTTGCAAACTTCATCAGTGCACTGGTGATGTTGAGTACTTGGCAGCGATGAAGCCTGCAAGTAGCAGACGAAATACGCGTATCTGCCAAAAGATAAGCAACTATAACGGAATTAAAAGGAAATATCAACACACTCAAAAAGTTCTTCTTAAAGGGATTCCGTCAAGAGGTTCGACAAAAGTTGATACGAAGATTTCGCTTTTCAGCCCACAGTCCCAGCACGCGATTTTGCACAACCAAGTATTTTTCGGGAACTTTGAAAACTTTCTCTGCTTAAACTTATCTTGAAACTTTCCTTCTCCGGTAGCCGTGTAAACTCTTGACCTGAGAGCTGCTTGAAATTCGCCTTGACTTATATTTCACCGTTCATTATAACGCAATCACATCTCTGATGCAATCAATCTGCGTGGGAATAATTTGGATTTCGCTTATGCGCGAGCTAAATTTCGATACGCTGTTGCTTTTGCTTCGAAGTCGTTTTGACAACTGCATGGAAAATGGCAAAAACAAAATAAAGGCAACATTCCGTACGCACAGACCTACAAAATGAGGGGTGTTCAAGTTTCTTAAATGCACGATTGAAAAAAATCCGCCCTAATTTGAGTCGACCAATTTTTAACCGTTCCACCCTTTATGTTCTCGATACCGTTTGAAGTTAAAATCAATTTGTTTCAATTCCACGATATTTAACCTAAGTTGATCAATTCATTCAGTTCATATCGTTTAAAAAACATGCCGAAGAATGAAAATGAAGAAAAGACGATTCAACGGCAAATATATGATGATTTAAGATTTTTGCCAGTTGATAATTTTGTTTGTTTCGATTAGATAATTGATAAGACCTTGATAATAAATAAACCCAGAAAGTACGTATTTGTCTCATAATCATGAAGTTATTTCCGAAAAAATAATGGTTGTCTTTTCACTCAGATTTCAATACCTCCTATCCTTCCTTAAAATAACAGTAAAAACTGGTTCGATTTTCACCGCTTAAATTGGTTTAAAACTCATTACGTCTTCACCAAACCTAGCTTCTATGTAGTCCATATGCCACCTGAACTAAACTCTTTCCCTAATAATCAAATACCATAAACGAACTGTATCCCGGATGGGTAATACCTACCTTGTACAAACATACAAAGTACACTGTTGTACTACCGTTGGACTTCTTTAAGCTAGTACCTCAAATTGTACCTTTTGAGGTACTTGATTAAAGGAGTACAACGGTACTGCTTTGTATGTCTGTCAATGGTTTAAACTAAAGCCCTCTATAATGAGAAAGAGAAGGATAATTTCCATTTAATTCCACTACCTTATTTGTTTATTCTTGACAGATACGTGTATTTCATCTACAATGTGCAGACTTCTTTAGTGTCTTGTACTAATACTCGAGTATTAGTACAAGACATGGGCATGGGCCCAAAGAAGCTCGCCAAGTTTTGTTTTCCAAAGCTGATAAGCTTTGCAATTGTTGGTAGAGAAATATCCGATTACTCGTACAATGTAAAATAGTCCACTTCATAACGACGCAACGATGAATATTTCTAGCCGAAGGAAATCAAAGGCCAACAATTTATTCATAAAATCATGCTCCAATACCTCCACATACGCTTCTGTTGGACGTGTCCGATGGTTGAAAAATGTAGTTTTTCACAGTTGAACAGTTTCTCATACGAGCTGAGTTGAGTGGCAAATCTCGTCGGTCCATACAAAATGTGTGAACATATTTCCAGCAAATACACGTCACATCCCATTGCCTCCGAATAATGGGAGCAAAATTGTCACAAAAGCACCTACCCGAGTGGAAATTATCGATTTAATACTGTGAGATTGGAGTTTGATCAGTTTGCGAAAAATTTATGTGATCCGTTGCGGTACAGTAACAGCTAAATCTGTTACCTAACTGTCAGATTTGAAGCAAAGGCTCAGATACGGATGCATTGTGCGTGGCGCTTTAGGCGATATTTTTTTTTGCACCAAAATGTTCATCAATATATGCAAAACCTCATTACGGTAATAATTTTTGAAAATATTTGCCCCATTTTGAGATTTGACTTTTTTTCCTTGCTGAGTAATGCTACCGACGCCAGGGAGGCAGCGCCCACACCTGACCTGGACCCTACACCTATCTACCCATCAACTCATGAACCGGGGACCAACGGCTTTACTTCCCTTCCAAAGGAAGGCGTGATCAGAGATGTTATATACCTCAGTGTTCCCGGCGGGATTGAACCCAGGCCTGGAGGGGTGAGAGGTAATCACGTTTACCACTACACCACTGGCGCCGCTTGTAAAACATCTTGTTTTGAAGAAATTATCCTTTGTATCTTTTGTGGATTACTAGATAGCGTAGTGGTCTTGTAGAAAGAAAGTATTGACCATGACGAGGAAATGTCTTCCGATGACGAATAAGATGCAGATGTTATGGAGCTGGATGGAGGTAACATGTTTGTGGGAAAAAGTGGCCGTTTGTGGAGTGTTATTCCAAACACACAACTGATGTGATAACACATGAAAAACGGGGATTATCCGTAAGTGCAAGAAGAGATGTGTTGAATGCGGTTGATGCCTTTAAACTGTTCATTGATGACAATATTGTAAAAATCGTCGTCTGTGAAACTAACAGGAAAGCTCGTGTTTTTTTCAAAAGTAATCCTGGTGGATCTTATAGAAAATGGAAAGATACTAAGTCTAAGGAAATTCATGCATTTTTGGGATTGCTAATTTATGCTAGAGCATGTAAATCGTGGGATGAGGAATTACAATATATGTGGAAAATGATAATCGCCCTATATTCAGAGCAACTATGTCATTGATGCGATTCCAACAATTGCTACGGTTCATAAGGTTTGATGATTTGCGTAAAAGAAAAGTCAGATTAACCGAAGATAAACTAGCTGTGATTCTGATATGAGCAATTGCTTGCCTCGCTCCCGCAAGGGCCGTTCACCACAACTCTGAAATTAGCAAAACTAGGGAATAGGCCGAGACCCTATTCCCTAAATGAAGCTGTGATATAAATCAACAACTCGACGCGGTTGATGTTCTGATCAAGACTAAATTTATTTGAATTTTTCATTACAGAGCTTGAGTATAAATCTTACTCTGCTGGTGCCGTGTGCACCGATCCAAGCCATCCTTCTTGGTGTCGGGTGCACCAAAACTGCTGACTCGGATGACCCCCGGTTAGACGTTGAGATTGTTCCTTCTCGACGTTGCTTCCAGTGATTTTAGGCGGCTCATGTTGCGCCGCCACTTCCATACGATGACGACGACGACGGCCACCAGGATGAAGCCACCGTCTAGCGAATAAGATATCACATCGTGGGTTGTGATATTGCTGTGCTCAAACGTTTCGTCGTTTCCAAAGGGCCACGGCACGATCGAAGCGGACTCTTTCGATCCGCTCGGTGCACATTTTCTGCTGCGCTGGGAGTTCTTGGTGAGAACTCCGTCGCCTTAATTTTCGTTATTGCTTTATGCTGATGGTTCAATCAAAGTGCAACCCCGAGCGATGATAATGTGACCACCCGTTCATCTTTTGGTCACATCCATTTTCTCCCCCCTTTGGGACGAGGACGCAAGCGATCGTCCCAAATTGCTTGAGGCGGTGGGTCCTCTTCATGCTCTGCTATTTCGTTGGTTGAAGATAGTTCTGTGTTATCGTCAACTGTTGGTAACTCGATAGGCAAAGGGGCCAACAGTCGAACGTTGCGTTTGTAAATGTTAGGTCCGACGCGAACTGTGGCAACTCGCACGACGCCGTCAGCACCTGGATGCGTACTGGTTACGATACCCATAGGCCATTTTGCTACAGGATTGTGGTCATCTCCAATGAGGACAACTTGTCCAACTTCCAAGTTAGGCTGCTTCTTGGTCCATTTTGCCACGCAGCGCAGATGTTGCAGGTATTCATCCTGCCATCTCTGCCAAAACTGCAGAGTTTGATGCTGAATACGCTTCCAGCGTACCGATAGGCTCCCATTTTCGATGAATTTACCTGGGATGGGCAGAGCCGTCATTGATCTTCCTATAAGGAAGTGACCTGGGGTCAGCGATTCTGGAATGCTAGCGTCAGTCCAGACCACTGTGAGGGGGCGAGAGTTCATTATAGCCACCACTTGGTAGAGTACGGTTTGCAACTCTAAAATATTGAAGCATGCCCCGCGGGCTGCTGCCGTTAACAACCGTTTTGCAACTTTAATGTTAGCTTCCCAGAGCCCTCCAAAGTTTGGGCAACGGGGTGGTATATAAGAGAAATTTATCCCCTTGTCGGCTGCTATTCCTATTGCTCATTGTTATAGATTTTCCTTAGCTCTGCAAGTTCCCTACCTGCTCCGACGAAGTTCCGTCCGTTGTCCGAATAGATTACCTCTGACTTACCGCGCAGCGAAGTGAATCTCATTAAAGCAGCGATGAATGCACCGGTGGATTGATCCTCCGCCACTTCACGATGTACCGCTTTCGTTGAGAGACAGACGAAGATGCACACGTACACTGTCATCCTCGTCTTGGCCCGTTGGCTCGATAAAATCTGGAACGGACCGCATAGGTCTTGTGCGGCCTTGCTCGTGCGCACAAGATACATTGATTGACGATCGTTTTAGCCATTTTTCGGAGGTTCCGCATCCAATAGTGTTGCTGGAAGTCCGCGATGATTGTCTTCATACCGGCGTGGAGATTTTTTCGATAAATGTGGTCCAGTATAACCTTTCCAAAGAAATGTTCTCGGGGTATTACAGCTGGACGTCGTTGATTCTGGGGCAGGTCGGCCAGACTAAGCCTACCCACGATGCGGATGAGTCCATCTTCGATGATTGGACTGAGATGTTGAAGAGGACCCTGCTTTGTAGGGGTTCCTTGGTCTTCTAAGTGAGCGAATTCCTTTCGATAACTGATTCGCTGTAAATGCTTGGCGATTAGTTGCTCACCAGCCTCCAGTTCGTTGACGGTTAAGGACCCGAAACGTGGCTCTCGGTCAACCCCGCGGCTCTTGATGGCCACCGATTTAGCCATGAAGTTGTTCATGACCCGATTGATGATGGCGAAATGCCTTCGCGTTTTTTGGAACGAGTTATGGTGCGGGTAACTTGATATTAAGTCCTCCACCTCATTGCTTGTATTGTCTCTGTCGGTTGATGAACAAATTGCTATAACTTGCGGAGCGTCATTTGCCTCAACGTGCCGCCTGTTCTCTAGTGCATAGTTTGTGGCATGCAGCCACATATCCTTTTTTCTGGTTAGAAGTTTTCTCACGGAGATACCTCTCGGGACTATGTCCGCAGGATTCTGATCCGTTGGCACATAGCGCCAGTCTGCTCGCTGCATGAGGGACTGGATTACGTTGATTCTATTGCGAACGTACACTTCACTGTGGGGTACGCTTGAATGAATCCAAGCCAAGACTACTTGGGAATCACACCAGTAGTACGTTTTCTGAACGTGTGCTGGTATAATTGAAATCACTCTGTTCATGAATTCCGCCAGCAGCTTTGCTCCCAGAAGCTCTTTTCGTGCTAGATTTGGCGCACAATAAGTTCATTGACATTCGATTTTTCTCGTCTATGCAATACGCATAGATCGCGCAACCATAAGCCAGGTTCGATGCATCTAAGAATCCATGCAGTTCCAAGTGCACAGGATTGCTTGGGATCGCCTGGCGGGGAATTGCCAAGCTAGCGATTTTTGGCAGTGTTTTCTTCAATTGTTGCCATTCATGTTGTGAATCAGTGGGATTTCGTCATCCCATTTTAGCTTAATTTTCTGAAGTCCTTGAAGAAGGATTTTGGCTGTGATGATTATTGGCTGCATGATGCCCAGTGAATCGTAAAACCTCAATATCTCTGAGGCGAGCTGCCGTTTAGTCATTTTTTCATGTGAATTTACCTGGTCATCCGCGATGCATCGGAACGTATCGGCTTTAGGCGACCACGCTACACCTAATGTTTTTATGATGTCATGGTCCCCGATTCGGATTTCTTTCTCCAAGTCCTCGTCTGATACTCCGGCGAGAATGTTGACGTCGTTGGACGCCCACTTGCGTAAAGGAAAACCTCTCTTCATCAGAGCTGATTCCACTGCTTTCCGCTTCTCCAAAAGTTTTTCGGCGGAATCTCCGCCCATCATGAAGTTGTCCACGTAGAAGCATTGTTGAATAGCATCAGCAATTTCAGGTTGTTCGGGTCGAATTTCCTCTCCGACCTCATGAAGCACTCGGCAAGCCAGGAAGGACGATGCCGCTTCGCCGTAGGTTACCGTTTTCAATCGGTACACTTGTATTTCCTCGGAGGGATCGTTCATCCAGAGGGTGCTTTAGAACCACGAATCTTCTTCGTGGAGATTTGCTTGTCGATACATCTTCGCGACGTCGGCTGTAGTCACTTTATCGTGGCATCTGAAATCCAACAGTAGGTCGAATAATTCCCGCTGTATTACAGGACCACTGTGTTGAATGTCGTTGAGCGATATGTTACTTGACGTTTTAGCGCTGGCGTCAAATACTACTCGCAATTTTGTTGAAGTGAAATCCGGTTTGATTCCACAAGAGTGTGGTATGTAGTACCTAATCTTTGACTTGTCCTTGGGGTGGACTCTCTCTATACTGCTTGTATACTTCAGGATGGCGGGCAAGGCGTTTTTCTAAGGATAGTAAGCACCGTTTGGCCTGCTCAAATGAATGGCCTAATAGCTATGGCTCATTTTTAAAGGGAAGGCGGACTACATCTTTCCCATTCGCTCCTATCGTCGTGTATTTTTGGAAGTGTTCCTCGCATGCATTCGCGCTGTGACAGGGCTTCGCTTCCACAGAAGTCACCTCCTCAAGCGCCCAAAAACTCCTGAACAGATTATCTAGTCCTTGATCCTTGTAACTATGATCTGGGGCTGATGTGCAATCTGACTCTCTTGATGCTTCAGGCTTAGCTGCGATAACAGCCATAGTAGCTTGACGTGGTACTTGCAACGATGCTAGTCCGCCGACAAGTCACCCAAATGCGGACTCATAATTTGGAAGAATATTTGCGGTCTAAGCAATATTTCGACTGGTTGCTTCTGATAGAAGGACGGGTCAGCCAATTCAATGCCCGCTGGCACCCTTATTTCCCCTGCGCGTAGTGTGATACTTGCGAAAAATATGGGATGTGTTCAGGGAAAATCTAAGAGCGATGTATAAACCATCACAAAACATCACTATGAACAATTAGACCCACCATGGTCGACTACATCAGGGCCCGCCAACCCTATTTTCGAGCCATTGAATATGACGTCACAAAAACGCATGATGGGGTACATATAACATTGACTATTTCGACTCGAGATTTGACTAGATGACCCTGGAAACCCAGCACTGAACTTTTCAGGAGCACTATTTTATAATGTAATCTTCGATATTCAATCGGTTTTAATCCCTGCCAGGGGCCGCCTCCCATCTTTTCGGGCCGTTCAATATGGCGTCACAAAACCGTCCGATGGGCTGTATATAATATTGACATTTTCGAATCGAGATTTGACTAGGTACCCCTCAGTACCCAACGCTGAAATTTTCAGAAGTACTATTTTATAAGGTAATCTTCAAAATACAACCAGTTTTAGACCCCGCCAGGGCCCGCCCACCCTCTTTTCGAGCCGTTGAATATGACGTCACAAAAACGCTTGATGGGCTGTATATCACATAGATGTCAATGAAAAGCATTGGTGTATTCAGCAAAGTTGTATATTTTAATGATGCCAACAATTTTTTAGAACATGATAAATTGATCAAATTTGAAAAAAGCACTAATTAACTCAAAAAACCAATATTAAGGTAGTCTTAAAAGAAAATCTATTATAGCTCTACAGAGTTATGATGTAGAAATTTGGTGTCTTTAGCAAATGTTTATAAAATCAACTGTTCTGCAACTTTGTCCAAGACATGGAACCATTATCTCGTAACTGGAAAAAGTTAGAATTTGGATGTGTAATACTAGCTTAAAGATTATTCAGGTGTGTATTTCAAAAGATGCGAGATATAATTTTGAGCAACTTCTCCCAAGACAGCCAGTCTCTAAAACGTCGAAAAAGGGTAGAAAATATTTTTGACCGTCTTTATTCATATTCGTGCCACTGTGCGACGCTGAGAAAAACTATCCTTTGAAAGGAGAAATATACGTTGGTCGACAACCACAAGAGGCTCCAGCTCATAATTATTCGCTAAATCTCGTTCAAAGTCTTTCGGATCCGTGGTAGAGAAAAGGTAGCTAGAAAATTTTCAGTTTATTTTTTATTTTTTATTTAACTTTGTTCGTCTTAGGTCGCGATTTTACCATGGATAACTTCTTCACTTCTGCTCGATTAGCTGACAGTTATCGCAACAGAAAACAACTCTCCTTGAGGCAATTCGCAAGAACAAGCCTGACCTTCCTCGAGAGATGATGAATGTTTCGATAGACAACTAAAGCTGGTAAGTTACGTTCCGAAGAAAGGTAAAAACGTGATTTTACTGTCCACAATGCATCACACAAACGAAACGGATGTGACACAGAGAAACAAGCCGACAATAATATTGGACTACAACAACACTAAAGGTGGAGTAGACAATATGGACAAACTTGTTTATACGTACACCTGTCGGAGAAAGTCAAAAAGATGGCCCATGACTGCGTTCTTCAATATGATGGACGCAGCATGTATTGCTGCTTATATTCTTTAATTTTTAAATTTCCGAATGCTGATAATTCTTCTACAAAACGTGAGAATTTTTTGCTGAAATTGGGAAAGGAGTTGGTTCATCTTTTAAAATTGCTGAAGAGAGCGATATTCTTATTAATTAAAAGTTAAATTTTATGCAAAAGTCTAAACAAAATGACACATTAGTGATCCCTGGGAAATTAATTCTTAACTATGAGGATAACCATACAATTGTTTTAGTTCATCTTAAGAACTTGGTCGAGATCAAAAAGTTTCCATCCAGGCAAGCTATCCAGTGAAACCAAAAAACTCG